CGCTGCTTTCAAGAGTGATGGTCGTGTAGTTCTTTTTTTGCTTGAAAATTTGTGAGTGCGTACGTTGCGATATTTTAAATTAAAAATGTGTAACAGAGTCAATTCAATTAGAAAAAAATAATGTGATCATATCTTAACTAAATAATGTTAAAAATAATGACAACTAAAAAAAGTTTACCATCAAGATTGTTATCTCGATATGTTGACAGAAACTCAAAAGGGCACAAGCAAAGTCAACCCGTAGTGAAAAAACCTTTGGTAAATATGCTTTTTTCAACATTATGTTTAATATAAATGATTTATTTTCGATTTTCTTGTAAACTACAGGAAAGTAAGAAAAATGCTTCCATTAATTTGTAAATCAGGAGTGCTTAAAAATGATAGAGAAATAAACAGAGAGAGAGAGAGAGAGAGAGAGAGATGTATAAAGAGAGCGTGTACCTCGAAACACCTTATGACGAGTTCATTTGACTTTTTTCTTTTTTTACTTTAATATGAGAATCCACAAGCAGTCAAAACAAAGGCTTATAAAGGGTTATATACAAGGTCTCCGACGTTTGTTCCGAGTAGTGTTCATGTCAACATATCGGGCAACACGGATATAAATAATATATTGAAAAAATAGCTATATACATAATAGGTCTACGATAAAGCTTCGCAGACTTATAAAAAATTTCATAACAGTGTATGTTCTTAATCAACATCAACGTCGTTGTTCGAAAAGACTAAAAAATTCATCGAATGGAAGCAGTAGTGAGAAGGAGCAATGTTTGATGAATACTTCGAGAAGGTAGGGCATTCTAATGCGTAGTTGTTAGGACGAGCTTTGCTTTTCAAACTGAGATTGATAGCTAGTGCCAGTTTAAGGAAGTTGGAGACTTCTCATATCGGTCTACATTCAGTTTTTTTGACAAAGAACTCAAATCTTTCAAAAACCACGTTCAGTATACTAACTCGTGTTTTTGTGTATAGTTTCACGATAGTATTTTCAGATTAAGAAATGAGAGAATTATTCAATACTCTGTTAAGCCCATGAAAGGGCGTGCAGCGAGAAATAATAAATATCCAACTAGTACGTACGCATTCTTTTTAGAAATTCTTCATATCTCATGAAAGGGAAAAGGATTGCAACCTCTGCAAAGAAGTAAAGTGTTAGCCGCATTCTTTATAAAAAAAATAATAATAATGATTATAAAAAAATTGAATTTTCAAAACCAAAAAAAAAGAGAAAACAATTTTGAAATCTTTTGTGTGAAAGATAATTTAACGCGAAACCGTCGGTAGTTAAAAGAAAATTCCTGGCTGTCGGTACTTCGGAGCCCAAATATCAGGCCGCATCTCCAAAAATCAATATTCATTACAAAGATTACAATTATTCAAATGCCGATAAATATTTTTGAAAGAAAGTGCAAGTCCATCATGAGTAGCTGTCGAAGCTACAAATTATCATTATCCGAATAACGAATTTTACATGAATATAAAAATCATTGAATAAAAGTTTAGAAAGTAAGGATAAAAAACCTATTAGTCCTATAAAACATGTACAGAATACATATAGACACACTCGGCTTAATATCGGCTAATTCCAAGTAACTTTAGCTTTATTTTTGTTGTATAATGATAGAATGTTTGCATAGAAACCCTTGTTTGGAGTAGCGTAGTGGTTGTCCCGAGGAACGAATTCTTTTTGCCAGTGTAAGAAAAATATGCAACATCTAGAAAGACTTGAAATAGATCCACCTTTTATTATTCAGAATCTGTTCCTATCTGTCCGTTTGTCAGTTGTGTAGTCTTTTGTTCAATCTACAGCTTGCAACTAAAACTAAAAATCGTTTCAAGAATAGCTTCGATTTTTGCATTTATCTCTATTGGGATATTATATAAAACTTTTTGAATATTTTCTTGTCCGTCTAATCACACCAAAGATATGATCTAGGAACCGCGCACTCATCAAATTGAATGAAAGCTTCGCATCATTATCTTACTCAAATGTAGTGACATATGTTCTTCGACACAGGATAGCATTGCAGTTTCCAACATATTTTCAGTTATAAGTTTATCAGTGTTTTTCCTTAGATGTGTCGGAGCGATATTCTCCCAAGAACCAGAGCACGCTACAATTACATCTCTTACGCTACGCTTCACAGGATTTTTAGTAAATCTAATGCAAAATTCCTTTCCTTATGACCACAGCATCCTTTTTCTCGCATCATAGTATTTGTGTTCCGTCGTTCCAAAGTATGTATCTCCACTTTTGTTCGCCTTCTGGTTTGTACCAATTTTCATGGACTAAAGCAAAATCTTTCCATTTCTCCATATTACTATATTCTAAGCAAGGGAAGCTATCTTTTACGATTTCGGCGATATAGAACTGAAAAATACGGCTTGCGCTTATTTTCGCCTATATAATGGTTTTAAGCGGAATGATGTATAATATTTCATGGACGTCGTGGTCCACTATAATTTTTACCTGCTTTTTTTAATAATTATCGTTATTCCCTTTTGTCATTTGCCGCTACGACTACAGTCGAACAAAAAAACCCCAGATGGCCGAGTTTTTCGGAGCCACTTTCGCTACAATCTTGGCGTCGTATCTTTTGTTTAAGTCTTGAGTTTTCTGAAATACCGCCTTTAGAAGATGTAAGTAGTCGTACATCTGTGTGATTAAATAATTGCTTCCATCCGCCCGTTGCCTCATAAATACGCTGTTTGGGGAATTATTTATTATTTTGCAATTTTGAGTGCTCCTGTCGCAGACCACCGCTCTTACATCGAGCACGATCTCCTCTGCAAATCCTATGTTTTCTATTAATAGTTGGGAATTCCCATTATAGCGGGTGATAGGCGCTGAGTGTCAGGCTGAATGCAGTCAACAAGCTCCGTACTTGGAATACGAGTACTGTTCGGTACTCCATCGTATCCTTTAATTTTCCATTTAGGAAGTAGCCGCATCCATAGAGCCTATGTTCCGTTCTACGTACGTTGATGGGACATTAAAAACTCTACCGCACTTGAGATTCGAACCCACGACCATTGAGTTGCTAGTCGAAATTCCTCGCCTTCGGCTACTCAGGCGGATTTCTTACATTATATTTTTAATATTGTTCAAGTGTTCGTATAAAAATTGAGTGCATGCGAAAGTAAGCGTATAAAAATTTGCCTTCAACTGATAATGATTCTCAATAATTCCAAAGATGTGAGAATAAGAGTCCAATTTTTTTATCGTTTCTACAATTTTAACAACTTGGTCGACGTCTCCGTTTATGTTAATTCGTCATTGTGTAGTGTGTCTTGTACATTAATTGTGTCAATATATTTATTTGTTTATAGCGAGTTGTTATTGTCAACAAATTCTTTTAGCTACTGGTTTATAATAGCCGTCTTGACTGAAAAGTTGTCAGCGTATAGCGGCTTAGACAGGGAATTAAAAGCTCTATCTGAACGAATTTGACCAAAGCGCACGTAACTGGAGAGATCAATAAATGGTTATTGCAAACTGACCTACTAAAAGAAAAGAGTGCGAATGAGAGCACTTCTTGCATAATGTCTTTGTCATTATTATGTTCGAAGTCAATTGCACCGCCTTCATATGTTTCCTCCATTTCGACTGGCGCCATTAACGTGGATATGTGTTCTAGCGATGGTAAAACAAACAGTGCGATAATTTCGTTGATTGCATTTATTTTTATTAGCATGCGCCGAGTGCACAGCTGACGATCCTCATTCTCCTTTTTATTCTGTGAATCAGTAAATCAGAAAATAGACGATTTAAAAAAGGTTCAATGTGGCCTGAGCAGCTCAGTCGATAGAGCATAGGACTTTTAATCCAACGGCCCAGGGTTCACTTCCCAGCTCGGGCGTCATTTACCTAATTTTTATTCTATCAGCATCATTCGCTGCAGTTCCAGTAAGGAATAATGATATCAAATCAAGCAAGTGTTTGAAGAGAGGAATAATAATAAAACGGTAACATTCTTCAAGTTGTGGGACCAGGAGTATTTTTACCACGGACATTGCACAAAAAGGGGGAAGGGTCATGCCTAAATGTAATATATACCGTTTTTAGCGAAACAACAGCTGCTTTGAAACGAGAAGTGATTGTTCGAAATTGTATATACATTGCTCTGATTCATGTGATTGTTCGTCAACAACATATATAACTCAAAGTTTATATCATTATGCGTTCATCAATTGCGTTGCAAAAAATAAATCGTAAAAGGAAATAAACAAAAACACGTTACTCTTTTTCCTCGTTTTTCTTATTCCTCGTTTTGTTCATTATTCGCAAAATAAATTACGCAAAATAAATTACGCAAAAACACATAATTCGCTACATCCTTGATTTGGTATTTTCTAGTTTGCCTGCACTGTGGCCCATATATTAATATTCTTCCCGTCATCATTTCTGCTAAGGCACACAAAGTGTAGATGAATTGCTAAAAACGTTTCCATTTGTTTACATTGCCTGAACGGTCTGATCATTGCGGAATTTTTTAGTACCTGCAACAATTTTTCAATCGAATGATTTGATGACTGCATTGCAAATTTCTAAGCACATCTTCGCTTTTCTTCATTGACATTGGATTGTGCTAAACATGAGCGATCCCCTCTGCTTCTTCAAGGTAGCCTTAATTGCTTTGACCGGCCATGCATGATTCCGTTGCTACGGTTAATATCTGTCACAGCCTTTTTCTGTTTGTGAAGTTAACCTAATCCAATTTGGACGGAACGGACATTGACATCCTTAAGAATCTATAAACAAAGTCCGCAACCATTGTGGTCGTAGGCAGCGAAAGATACGCTTCATTCCCTATTTTTTCGGTAAATGCATTTTGTACAACAGGATACAAGGGAAAGGTCATAATGTTAAGAATCTGTTGCCGTTGTTAACGTTATCGTGTTTCAAGTCGCTTGTTAAGACACGACATCTACAGGCAGAGACTTATTTGTTGTTATATCGTGACATATATTGCTTACAAGAGCAGTAGCATGCAAGTCCAAGAAAATCCTGTGTTGTTGCCACCAGCAGTAAGTGGCGAAGATCGCTAGAGAGAATTTCATCCTTGTCTAGGAGAATACTAACTTGCTCTCGTTTTCTACTAAACTCGGCGAATTATCTGTTTGTTGATTTGCTGACTAGCCGAAGAAGAGAAAGATATACAGGAAAGGAACCGAACATTACTTTTTTAATATGATTTCATATAATAGTTTTTTTATGTATCCAGTACTTGGATGTTGTAGTTAATTCAATACGGGGGCCAGAGTTTTGCTTAGCGGATCAAAGCAGAAATTTGTCTTATATCTTTTGTATTGCTCTTTAAAAAGACGAACCAATTTTTGAAAAAGTTTTTCTTACTTTAATTTTGTTGGCATTGACTTATGTACGTTTGCTGGGAGATTTATGGATTAACTGACGTCATATTATTTTAAAATATCTGCATATATGTATGACCTAGGACTAGGGTTGGACACGACGCAAAGTGCAAATATGCGAAAAATATTTACGAAATTTCTTTCAAGTTATCGGGAAAGTTTTAGAAGATGACATGTAGTCTGATCGATAGCCTGCAAGAGGATGCAATTCAGTGACTACGAGGAGGCGCCACAAAAATTAAAGAATTTGGTAAAATCTCTTTTTGTTAACACACCGCTCAGATCAAACTTTAAACTTAAGTGGCGAGAATATGAAAAATTTGTTTTAGTCAAAAGCAAAGGTGGGGGCCGAACTATTTAGAACGTGCTCCGACTAAGCAGTAAGCAGATTTCGTCGTCGTTTCCTAGATAATAAACTAAGTATACGTGGACGAGAGTAGGCGTGCCGTAAATCCTATCTTTCCGTCCGTTGGATAAATATAATTTATAGGGTTGAAAGCAGATATGATTGTGACCTTGGAAACAAGAACAATCGCAATTCGAGTAAATAAAGATAATTAAGAGAAACCTAGTACCAATTGTTCAAAGAAATGTCATTTCTTACTTGTATTGAGGGGCGTCGCAATTGGTCGACAATAAATTCGCGCATCAATAAACACATCTTCTCGATTTGTACAGGAAATTTCCATTACTTTGAGTCCTAGCAAGTCTGTCCTATCAGATACAATGTGTGAATAAGGAGCCTTCACGTTACAAAATTCAATTTCAAAAAAGTAGAAGTAAAGTGAACGCTGAACAAAGTTCTTGGTCATTGGTCATGCAATACGTGATTTTGAGGCGAAGCAATTATTGATTCATCAACAAGCAAGCAGAGCAGCACCAAGAAGAAAAACGTACAAGTAAATTGAGTGGTTGTCAGTAACCAGCCATATTAGGCCAACGTTTTGCATAGTTGACGTAGTAGTTGTGCGTTGTTGGAATAACCTGACAAAGCTCGGAACAGCGCGAAGAAGTCGTTGTTATTGAGAGCAGAGTAGTAAGACGCTTTGTTGTTTAATGACACTGCTGCCATTTACCCCGATATGATCGTTGAGCGTGTGAACGAATGTGTGTACTGTACGTAGCTAATAAAAGCATTGATTTACGATTTTGGTAGGATGTGCGTACGATACATTCGTGTGTGTACGTGCGTGCCATGAGACAAGTACACACTAGACAAGCCTGCAATGTTTGTTTGTCTGACTTGTACAATGTAGTGAGGTGCAAAAAAAAAAAGAAAAAGGATAGTTGCCTTAATTGACAAGCGGAGTTGAAGAGGTTTTTCATTGTTGGCGCTGTGTATGAGTGGAATGAATTCATTTTACCTTCAGTGCACAATTAAAGATAAATAGTTTTCGATACGAACCATTTAAGTATTTATTCCCTTTTCTAGGAGCATTTCTCTTTTTCTGCTTATAGTTTCGTTCTCAATGCTATCGGATTTTTCGAATGCATTTCACATTTTTTCAAATGATGGGCCGCTTGATTTTCCTTTACTGAAAACCCATTTCCAGGACATTAACTCTATCAATTTATAAAATATCCCTTCCCTTCTAGTTTGTCGAGGCTGAACGTCCTATAATTGATATTTGGCATTCCATTAATGATCAAATTTGATAACTAATGATATTAACGATAGGTATGCGGAGGAAAGCGCTAACAGATTGCAAAAAGACTGAAAGAACAGAGTAAAACTTATAAGAAGACAAACCCATAACAAACAGAGAGGTAGAGCGAGAGTGGATGCTCCCGAACAATTAACTTCTTGGGTGGAAAGCTTAATCTCGAGGGGTGATCGCTTCCCAAGTGCCACGTCCAGACACATTCGTCGGCGTCCTTTTTCCGAGGAGAGTGGGGCCAATCTAAAATCTCTGTATGGATCAAGCAATCGATAGCAGTGCAATTTCACGGACAGTCAAGTAAGCCGCCTTCTTGTGATCTTCACTGACCACACCCACCGCGAAACTTCCGCAAAAAGTTGTTTACCTGTGTCAGGCTAAAATCGGAAATTGCATGGGCGGTTTCCGATGCGTACGGAACTAGAGAGAAAAGGAAAAGGAAAGTCTCTGATTAGACGAAGTCGTTTCTGCACGACTCGCAAAATAAAGGTCGGTCATGAGATGGAAAACCTGTTGACGGAGGTGCAGTAAATGGAACTAGTCTACGCTGAGGGCGTGGCTGTATAACATTCCCATTGGGCAGATTCCCACACAATTTTACGCGAGTACTTACAAGCAAGCAATCTGCCGACTCTTGAAATCGTAAAATAAGTATTGTCTGAAAGCAACTCTGATCTGGACAATATCTCTGCTATTGGACCTTGTAGCTGTTGATAATTTCATTCCGAGGTTACGGACGCCTCTATGCTCTACGGAAAGGGAGCGTGTCTACCTCTTAACCACTCTACGATTTGCCTTACAGCATCTCTCAAGAGGAAAACAATTAACATTGACGTGGTCTACCTTAATATATAGACAGTTTTCGGCAAAGTTCTATGCGGCACGATAATGGCTCTATATCTAATGTAGAAAATATAGGTGTTCCAATTGACCCCACTACTGTGACAACTTATACCGTCCATCTTTAATGTCTCAATGTCTTAAGCAAAAAATCAAAGAGTACCGTTGCTGATTAATTGCAACTTGTTTAAAATATGGGCTTTAATTCATTTATCCGACTTAATCTGATAACCTAAAAACATAACCAAAAAACATATGTCTTAGTAACCGCTTTAATTGAAAATCTTACTGCGAGTGTGTATGCGGTAGTCTGTGTATTAACGATCTTCCAATAGTCCGCTAAACTTTTGTAAGCAATTTGCCCAAATGATTAGCTCTTTTTAGCCTATTCAGAAAAAATTGCTATTCATTCGCCTACATCCATATACATATACATATATAGAAAAATGGGTGTTAATTACTAACTTGGCATGTGCAAGAATTTTGCAAATCTGTGTGTGGGATGTGCATTGAGAACGAGCTAACTGAAAAGCAAGAAAGTTTTGTCTGCCAACAAAGCAATCTTTTTTTGCTTCTTATCGCATAGATGTGATGTAGACAAGACAGCAACAATTTCTGCAATGAAAATCTGCCAACAAAACAAATTCTAATATTGGTCAGTCAACTGTCTGCTTGGCGAAACAAGTAAGCGCCTACATGAAAGGTGAAGGGGAGGGAACAAAAACGCTTATTTTTTTGTATGCAGTTAAATGGAAAAATTTTATAAATTAAATAAATATTGAATGGCAGCGTGGATGTAAACATTTAGAGAACATTATGCAGCAACGCGTTTATGCGTTTTGCATTTTGACGGGGATTAAAATCCAATGAGCTCAAATCAAGCATAATCTGTAAATTTCGTCAAAATCTTTAGAGTATTAAAAACTAATTGACAAAGCCAAGAATATTTAGCAACATTTTTTTTTATTTCGTTTGTACAGGACAAAAATAATTACTAAAGTTGTCAGATTATAATTAGAATTTCACAGACCTTAGCCATTCATTGTTAATCGAAGTGTACAAGTTAAAGTGATCTCATTAGTAAAAAGCCGTATCTTCTCGCAATGCAACAAGTTTCCGGCTTTTTGCACCCTACACCAATTGTGGCATTAAGTTAATGCGGACTTATGTAACACGCAGAAGGGAAGAAAATGGATCCACCTTTTATTATACCGACATCTAAGACTGTCTGTCCCTGTGTTCAAGCCAAAGGTCGCAATTTTTGAGATATTTTGATGAAATTCGTTACACTGTTTTGACCCAGGAATACAAGCTATCGAAAATTGTTCGGGTCGGTCCACTTTGTCCACCACTCAACCACAAAACTGCAATTTTCAAAATTTCTCGGCAAAAGTGGCACTTCAGCATTCTAAACTGGTGTAAAAACTTTGACCCGGCTAAGTAAATTTTTTGAACCACCTCTTATATGATTTTTCCTCGGGGAATTGGATTTTTATTTGGTCAACAGGACGAATTTTCAATATTTCATCGTGAAAATTGGCTAATAATAGTAAATTGACGAAGAAATCGACTTTATCGAATTTAATCCTTGTAGGTTTATATGAAAGAATGAAGATTTTTATGAAACCTAAAGCCTTATGTTAATTTTAAGTTAATTTTTAGCTTCTTTTCTAATGAAAATTTGTTCACGATAGTAATTAAATAAAAAAAACGAAGTGGATCTAATTTGAACCAAATGGGTCTATTTCTTGGCCTCATCCCGTATAAGATATCTCATGAGGCCCTATCACGAAAGTCAAACCCTTATGTGGAAAGAAAGTCAAACTTTCTAATATGCGAGCTTTGCATGAAAACAGAGTGTACTTATTGGTACATTATTACCAAAGCGAGTAACTGTACTAGGCGAAGTGGTACATGATATATAAAGGTTAGTGTTGCCCGACTATAATATTCTTAGTTGTTCATTTTAGTGTAGTGCAAAAGATGATTTGGTTAACAAATTGATAAGCATTCAATGCAATTCAATCGACCGTTTCCAACGTCGCTATAAATTTTTTAACTTCGGGGATGTCGACAGCCATATGGACCATAGCCGTGTTCGTTCCGGATATAAGGTAGACCAATCACGAAGCGGCCTATAATGAAGAGAATGGCAATATTTTTGAGGACACTATGTACACCTATTTACTTTAGAATCTGCTGCAAAGTATTATGCATAGATGCTGGGTGTTTAC